TCTATCTATCTATCTATCTATCTATCTATCTATCTATCTATCTATCTATCTATCTATCTATCTATCTATCTATCTATCTATCTATTTATCTATCTATTTATCTATCTATCTATCTAATCATGCACTGATATTCTGTGTGTCTTCAACAGTCAAGTGTCTGCGAGAGCGCCCTGTGTGCACCCGGAAAGCAGCTAGAAACTAGTGGCCAGTGTTTTGCAGCCGTGTCTCAAATCAGACGTCTTGGCTACAAACTGGCAGTCACGCTGACACCAGACGACATGGTCAGTTTCAGCGAGGACCTCTTAGCTCACATACGCCTTATGGTTATTATTACAAAAGAATTACACGATTCATATGAATATTATGACCCAATGAATGAAAATGTTCCAGAAAACAGTGAGCATGAAACACAAATCAATTTCACACTTTATGTCAAATCATGCGAGACTCCTGAAGCTAATGACGTTCCAATCCTGAAATCTGTCAGTTTCACTTCGTATATAATTTATTACAGTGAAGTAAGCAGAAACTATATTGAGAAAAGGATGATAGACACGGTAAGTAAACCGTGGCGAGTGCCCGTTGATAACATGAAAGAAAAGTTTTTTACTCTCAACCCAAAGATTGTAGGCTATAGTCTCCATGAGCTTCTCTCTCAACATGTGTCTCATAACTGTAGTCACGTAGAATTCTCATTGCCCCCACATTCATTCACAGCAGAGGAAGAAGAGTATGATTACAATGGAAACCAATCATCAAGTTCGCAACTCACTTTGCCTCAAGGCTACTCTGAAGAAAAAACTCTTGTTCTCACATCTGATTTAGATGATTCTATTAAGCTTCTGATAGGCCAATGGTATAGTAAGGACGCTTTTATTGACGTCACTAGTACGATCGTTTGTCCTTTTGTAGAAGTCCGTGTTCTAGAGACCTTAGTTCAAACCACAGAGCAGATCACTTTCCGAATACCGTTCGAAGACAGGGTGATCAATGTCCTTTATGATAAGGATAGTGTCACTTACGTGGACGAAGACACGATCCACATTTGTGTTGACAGGTTCAAAGAGCTCATCAAACTTCCCAAGACACGCACCAGTCTCTACGAGACAACCGAGAAATTCCATTACTATTTTGAAGTGTCCTGCTTCAGCGTGTCCACGGCTTGCCTCATTCTGACGTTGTTGACGTACTGTCTGTTCCCTGGTCTCCGCTCTGTCCCCGGCAAAAACAACATGGCTCTTTGCCTCTCCCTGGCCCTTGCCCAGATCTCTCTCCTCGCCTCCGTTGAGCTCGGGGCTCGCGGATGGCTCCCTTCCATCGCGTGCGCGACCAACGCCCTACTGGTGCACTTGTCCTGGCTCTCAGCTTTCGCCTGGATGAGTGTGTGTTGTTTCCACATGTACCGTGTGTTCAGTTCCTCCACCGCTCCCTCCCACGTCTCTGCACACTCCAACAAGCGACGCTATCGATACTACTTCCTGATCGCCCACGGTTCCTCCTGTCTGCTGGTTCTCGCTACAGTTCTTGTCCACTTGTCTTTGTCGGGCGGACGCTCCTTCGGCTACGACACGGTCACGTGTTTTCTGGACACTTCCGGTTCCGGTGTGTCGTTTGTGTTGTCCCTGCTGGTGCCTCTGTGTGCCATGATCGTGTGTAACACCGTCCTGTTCTCACTGACCGTGTGGCACATCGTGCAAGTCACTCGTCTCCAGCAGCACAGCCGTGTGTCCGACAAGCGCAGGGTCATGACCTACGTCAAGTTGTCCACTGTCACCGGACTCTTCTGGGCTCTGGCCATCTTGTCCGTGCGGCTGGACTACATTGCCCTCAACTTTCTCACTTCGGCTCTCGTCGCTTTGCAAGGTCTCTATATTTTTCTTTCTTTCAGTGTCAACAAGGCAGTTGGTTCGCTCTATAAGGAACTGATATGGCCAAAACGTGCTAAAGATAACAGTTCTAGACATAACGATCTCGGTGGCCCAGTGCCACAGCACAGACAAATGACGGAGTCGACGAGCAATATTTATACAGTGTCCCAACACGTCAGCAGTGAGAGTAAAGAGGCTAGCACGGACATCAGTGAAACACAGTTAGGCAACCGTTTACGCAAAAGTCCCAGTAATTCTAATTAAAACTTTAACCTTCCAAGTTAAGGAGGCCAATTAAATCGGTCATACGTTTTCTTCTATGGAGTCGTGGTTGATTTAGTCAGCAGTAATTTGAGTCGCAGTTCCGTTTCCTCTATCCCTCCTTTTATGTTGTTAACCATTTCAACAAATTCACAATCGAGCATGAGCTCTATTACCTATTTAAAGTCTACTTTATGAAAATTAATATAATAGGCTTCTGGTCTTTACCTGCTTTTTTTTTCTTTCTTTTTCTCGAATATTTTACAACAAAACATGGTGAAATTGTGCACTCTTCTCTGATACCATTGGCTATTTGTCAGCGACGTTTGCAGGGTTAAAATGTGTTTTACTTCCCCATTGACTTACACAGTTGAGATTGTTGTGGGTTGTTTTAACCCTGCCTGTCAGGGACCACCCGGCCTGAGATAGACACACAGTCCTAGAAGACAGACTGAGATAGACACACAGTCCAAGAAGACAGACGGAGGTACTCAATTGACTAACTTTCCCAAACAGCTTCAACTCACGTCTTATGTCTGTAAAGGCCAAGACCTAACCATCAACCACACTTTAAAACAAAACAAAACGAAAAAGAAGAAAAAAAAACGACAGAAAAACACACCCCAAATAAAAACGTCCGCCCCCCTCCCTAAAAACCCAACAACAACAAAGAAACAACCAAACTATAAAAAAAACCTGTAGTCTCGATAGTTAATTTATCATTTTAAAATAATGTTTTTGTTTTGTATACCTTCAGAATACTTTGTGCACAAAGTGTGGATCTTAATTACCTTAATGTGTATATTGGTAAATATTGTCATTCCTTTTCCTATCATTTTTCAGCGAATACATTTATGTCATTATATGGTGTAATCACACGCTTGTCAAAGTTTTGGCATATAATAATAATAATGGATTGCATTTATATAGCGCATATCCACTTATGCAATGCTCTATGCGCTTAACATGATACATATAATGGATTTACAAATCAAGGTACATAGTGTTACATACTCATGCAAACGCATATTCACTCACGCACGCACCACACACAAATACATACTCACATACACACATACGTACATATGCACATACGCA